ATGGGCTTAGAGAACACTTATCATCTGTTGACCGGGGCAACGAAGAGAGCTATCAATATGACAGCCTTCTGAACACAATACATGCTGCTCAAAGAACATCTATCCCCTATAAAGAAACTAGATCAAATAGAAATGACCCAAAATGGACGAACAATAGGCTGAAACATCCACTAGGGCACAAGAAAGGAATCCATAGGCGCATCAAAAGAGGCGAGGGCCATCTTATGAATCAGCACATTGACACCAAGAGGGACACCAAAAAGGGGATAAGAAAAGCTAAAAGGGACTATGAAATTAAAGTTGCTAGGGATTCCAAAACCAACCCAAAAAGTTCCTTCCAGGCATATAGAACAAAAGTCAGAGACAAGACAGGTCCCCTTAAAAACAACCATGGGCATCCCACTGACAAAGAGAACGAAATGTGCTCGATTCCAAATAATTACCCTCTCTCGGCTTTTACACAGGAAGACACCAACAATATTCCGGTAATCAACCTTTATAGTGGATCAGAAGAAGACAAACCATGCAACATCACAGTCACCAGTGAAATGGTTGTGAAGCAGATAGACAGACTGAAGCAAAACAAGTCACCGGGCCCTGATGAGGTTTTTTCAAGGGTTCCAAAGGAATGCAAAATGGAAGAATGAGGGGAGACCTGATCGAAGTGTATAAGTGGAAGATAGGTATTAATAAAGGGGATATTAACAAGGTCTTGAGGATATCTCTCCAAGAGAGAACCCGCAGTAATGGATTTAAATTAGATAAGTTTAGATTTAGAAAGGACATAGGAAAGTATTGGTTTGGAAATAGGGTAGTTGATGAGTGGAACAGTCTACCTAGTTGGGTTATTGAGGCTAGGACTTTGGATAGTTTCAAATTTAGGTTGGATAAGTACATGAGTGGGAGGGGTTGAATTTGAGTGGGGCTTGCACATCGGAGCTTGTTTCTTGGGTCGCATTGAAAATTGGGTTGGTCAAATGTTTGTTAGTGGGATGAATTGTAAAGGACCTGCCTAGTATGGGCCAACAGGCCTGTTGCAGTGTTCCTCCTTTCTTATGTTCTTATGTTCTTATTTGTAGTTCCCTGCAGACACTAGTACTGGCTAGGTGGTTGGTGTCTGGCACCTCACACTGTCAGCCGGTTGGTGTCTGGCACCCCACAGTGCCAGCTGGTTGGTGTCTGGCACCCCACACTGCCAGCTGGCTCGTGTCTGGCACCCCACACTGCCAGCTGGTTCGTGTCGGCCACCCCACACTGCCAGCTGGTTCGTGTCGGGCACCCCACACTGCCAGCTGGTTCGTGTCGGCCACCCCACACTGCCAGCTGGTTCGTGTCGGCCACCCCACACTGCCAGCTGGTTCGTGTCGGCCACCCCACACTGCCAGCTGGTTCGTGTCGGGCACCCCACACTGCCAGCTGGTTCGTGTCGGCCACCCCACACTGCCAGCTGGTTAGTGTCGGGCACACAGTGCTATAAATACAAAAGCCTTTGAATGTGTTACCTTTTTTTTTTGCATTATATAACATATACGACGTATGCTGCCTCTGATATACCTTTGAAGAGTTTCGAGAGTTTCATTGTGATACACAACATGTGTTGACCTTAAATCTATACGACGTGTGTTTTATTTAGATGTGTGTGGCATATTTTAAGTAAATCTCGATGACATATTTTGTTGTAATCTTTATGGCGTATATTTAACTTCAAGAGAGTAAGTAGGACACACTGTAAAATTTATTATATTATTAAGAACGAAGGAATGTCACGTCTTGTCAGGCAGAAGTGTGTGTATTTACAAATCCCCAAAACCTCCCGCACAAGAATCAACCTGAAGACGACGCTCCGGTCCGTCCTGGACTCTTTGTCAGGACACGAATGTCAAATCACAGCTGAGACACGACAGTGGTCCAGAAGGATTGGGGAGGGGAGGGGGGCGACACGTCGTCACAAGGTCTCTCTCTCCTTTTGGTTAATTGTTCCAGCCATTGTAGTGTGACTTTTTTTTTTTAACTTTTATTAATTCACACTCAGCAGAGAGTATATCGTATTGATATTATTAGAGTACCACAGCCTCCTCCAAGGGATGTGTTTTGATGGTGAGGGGCTCTTGATGTGAGGAACTGGAGCTATCATCTCCCTCGCCTCCGTCCCTCCCCTCGGATACCAACCTTATATCCTCCCTCCCAGGCGCTGTGTGATCCCTACCGGCTTAGCGCTCCTCCGTAAACGTGAATAATACTCTTGCCAGCATACAGCCTCAGTTATATCTCTGTTGCTGCCTTAGGCCTCCATCTAGCTTGCCACCATCATCCTTATTCCTCCATCTATATTACCACCACCACCACCATCCTCATCCCTCCATCTATCTTACCACCACCATCCTCATCCCTCCATCTATATTACCACCACCATCCTCATCCCTCCATCTATATTACCACCACCATCCTCATCCCTCCATCTATATTACCACAACCGTCCTCATCCCTCCATCTATATTACCACCACATCCTCATCCCTCCATCTATATTACCACCACCGTCCTCATCCCTCCATCTATATTACCACCACCATCTTCATCTCCCATCTATATTACCACCACCATCCTCATCCCTCCATCTATATTACCACCATCTTCGTCCCTCCATCTACATTACCACCACCATCTTTATCCTTCCATCTATATTACCACCACCATCTTTATCCATCTATATTACCACCACTTTTCTCATCCATCTATATTACCACCACCATCCTCATCCCTCCAACTATATTAACGCCATCATCCTCGTCCCTCCATCTATATTACCTTCCCAGTGCCCTCTGTGTTATCTCTCGTTTCGTTCTTCCCTTCATCTCGCCTGTCTCTCCAGTTCTCCTCTATCTCCCTTACCATTGTTTTTCTTCCCTTTCTCCTTCCTCCTCTACCTCTCTTCTCCTCCTCTCCTTCCTTCCTTCCTCGATCCGTCATTTGTGTGTCCCAGCCACTATTCGCAGCCTTCTCTCCATACCCTAGCTCCTCCCTCTGCATTTCTCCATTCTGTTTCTTCCTCTCATTTTTTTAATATCTATTTTCAGCATCTCTGTATCCCCTTCATCCCTCCCTCCATCTTTTACACAAGAGCTTTTACAGGGTTAATTAGGAGCTACTACATTTATTTACAACTCAAGAGCTCTTACCTACCTCAGCTATATGAAGAGCCCTCCTCAGCATTATCTTTATTAAATTTTCGCTATGAAACAGAAATATGGAAGAGGATGAGGCTGGAGCCGCTGTCATCCAGAGACTTCACTCAAGTCACTTCACTGTCATTAATATTATGGTGAACGAACGTGTCTCAGACTCGAGATATTCTAGAAATAAATGATGTCATATAAAGTGATGTTTTTGAGGTGGGTACATCTAGACTAGAGTTTGTGCTTGCTGCCCGTCTTGTTGTATAGAAATTGTCTTCTCGCTGTCCTCCCAGTGGAGCCAAGAGTGGTACTTCGACAAGATTGGCTGAAATGACAGATCTGTCCAGGCCGGGTCCAAGACAGAGATTAGTCGTCTTGCACAATTCTCTGTTCTGTTCAGAAGTCCTGAAGGAGACGGGTGGTGGTGGGGGGGGGGGGATGTGCAAGGGAATAATGCATACTCAAGGTGTAAGCGCACTTGTGCCTCGTAGAGAGTTTTGCAGACTTTACTGTTGAGCAGGTACGCGATACACCATAGTACTGTTATCTTCTTGGCTGGCAAGATTCTCATTTATTCATTCTCATTCTCGTATTCTTTCATTCTCATCCAGTTCACCATCACACACACTGGCTCCTCTGTCTCCATCTTTCACCACTTCGCTGTTAGCACTCACTTTCTATCAACTTCTATCACTATTTCCCCTCCTTCCTATTCCCCTTTCCCCGTTTTCTTGTATTCACGTTTTCTGTCTTTTCCTTCGTTAGTTCCTCTCCCTCGGGTCTTGCCCTGGACGGCACTGTCTCCTACACGACCAGCTGGGGAATGATGCCAAGTTGTTAAGAAGCCAACAGCGGAAATTTAATTAAAACAGCATTTCAAAGGAACTTCTGAAGCTTCAAATGATTTGAAAGTTTCCTTAATTCGCTCTCCCAAAGGGAGAAAAAAAAGTGGATTAGATCTCTGGTGAGGTCCTCATGTACACCGATCTTGCGTTGTAATTGAAGGAACATTCAAGATTACTCAACGAGGCGATGTTAGGGGATAGATTTGTACGTCTCGCGCTAGTCAGGGACAAACAGACGTAAGTCACCTATCGTGACACGTCTCAGGGCTAGTGCATGTCCTAGGACATGGCGCTAGTTATCCTAGGACAGCCTTCTGAAAGATGCAGCATGTTTAGGGAGGCATACAGCGTGTTAAGGGAGGGATACAGTGTGTTGAGGGTCATACAGTGTGTTAAGGGAGGTATACAGTATGTTAAGGGAGGGATACAGTGTGCCCCTCACCGTGAATAAACACACATTTGCCGTTAGAATATATTCCTGTCGCCGAATTTTGTTATTTCCTCTACTCCTAAATATGGCTTCTACAAAATATTCTTTGCCTTTCCCGACTCATTTCCTCCCTGTGTCCTCACTTAATTTTTACCTCACCAAACAGTTTGTTAGCTCAATAACTGTACCATCCTAACACTAGCACCAGTGCGCTTGATATTGACGTCAGTATTTAAGGTTGGTAAAAATATAGATTCATAAATAAAAGCTAAATTCACTGGGGATCATACAGCGCCAGGTAGAATGGTAGGTAATCCTGTTTGATTCGAGGAAGGGTAAAGTGGCACCAGTTTCTCTAAAGAGCCTTTTAAGACCACTCATGAAGTGTAGAGGTTGTCCCAAAAACTCCGCACAGCGGTGTCATTTTGAACCATAGCTGTGTATAAAGGTGATAGGGTGTCTCCATATCTGTATACCGAGCTGGGGTGTCCCCGCAGCTGTGTATAGAAGTGCTGGTTTACATACACGAGTGACCTTCCTTTCTCTCCAGATGTAGGCTGTGACCTGGTGACCAACCTTGGAGAGACTCGCACATCTCCCGGCCAGCATTCACCTTTCTCGGACGACTCCTCAGGTATGAAAGTCTCTCTCATGCCCCCAGCCTCGTGTTCCCTACCCTCTGCCACGTGCCTCGTGCCCCCTACCCACACACTCCTTTCACATCATCGGCTTCTTGTCTTAAATCTGTGCATGTGTATATATTCATATACATGTATGTGTGTGTTTGCAGTGTGTTATAATATACATTATATATATATATATATATATATATATATATATATATATATATATATATATATATATATATTATATATATATATAACAGATAAGATCACAGAACAACCACTGAAAAAAATCTTAGAATTCCAGGCGCTTTCGTGAAAGTAGAATTAACGAAAGCGCTTGGAATTCTACTATTTTTCACAGTGGTTGTTCTGAATATATAATTACATTGTGATCCAGTGAAGAAAATGGATTTATCATCGCTCGCTCCCTTGCTGTCTTTACAGAAGTGCATGGATCAGCCATTGACCAGTGCTCTTTAGGCAGAGTTGCCAAAACGAGCTAAATTTTCAGAAAGATTTATTTTTCTTACCAAATATTAGATATAGTGGCCTAAATTGGGATTTTTTTTTTAAATTTGCAGCAAAACGTCTTTAGCAATCATTTCAAATTTATGTAATTAACTTTATGGTTGAGTCTCGCTTAACGTTATGTTCACCTTAATGTAGGGTAGTGCTATATATCAGTGAATTATTTTTTAATTTCGTAATGTGCAGACTGATTTCGCAGGAGTTATGGTAGAAATTGTATACGTTGATGGAATGGCTAAGGTTGCAACCTCTGCCAAAACAGCACAACGACGGTCAATGCAAAGAAGCGAGTGTACACACTGCTTTCACTATTCTTCTATCGTCTACACATGTATGTCATATCTTGATCAAAACACACACACACACACACACACACACACGTATGTACGTCTACGAAGGGTCGTACAGAGGACATTCCTACCTCATCACATGTTTTGTAAATAGATTTAATACTCCTCTTGCATTGTAAATAATTAAATGCACAAGATAATGTCTTCATGTTTGTTCTGGTGTTTAAAATACCTAACAAGCTGTGCAGACACGAGAGAGAGAGAGAGAGAGAGAGAGAGAGAGAGAGAGAGAGAGAGAGAGAGAGAGAGAATCCTATTTAGCACGTCAAGAGTGACCTAGTCACTAAGACTTTGTACACAGCAGGACTTAGACTGGCTGAGACGCCTCAGCTCCCCAAGACAAGCGGAAGAATTTCTACTTTGTGTTCTTAAATTTGGTGTAAGTTTCAGTGGATACATTAGTTGACCAACTTTTAAACTGTACATACAACACTCGACACAAGTTTCATTATTCTTTGACTCTTGCTGTATTTCCATGTATTCCTTGTAAACTTAGGGAATTAGATTTTTCTCAGTCTGTGTATTACTTGGATCACTAGTAAATAGCTTCAGCTTGAGTGGTGACAGGTAACGCGGCGTTGCCTGGTCGTATAAGAGGTCGAGTACCACCATGGCAGACCTGCATCATGTTACGTGTGATGGCTTGTAACTCTGTAACACACGTTGTTGAGGACACAACGTGCTGCATCATGGCGACACCACACCATATACTACATGCCAACTTGACGCTCTAATAGCATGCTTGCTTCACAATCTAAATATAAGGATATTTCCGCAAATCAAATGAGGACATGATTCATCTTATCCCTCATGCTCCTCATATTTTGATGGAGAAATTTTTTAGTAAACAAAAGGTATTTGACTATACACTGTGAAATGAGCACCTGTGGCTTTTTAGAACTTCAAAAATAAAGCAGATCCAATAAAAACGCCATTATATAAAGTATTGTGATATAATTTCACTGCCATGTAGTTGCAAACAATGAGTGTTAACACGAAGTGCCTACGCTTGGCTACAACAGTGCGTGGACGGAGGTCAACACCTCCAGCCGTGCCTCCTCTGCCCCTACCGTCTCTACTGAGTCGCCGGGGCAGGACAAAGCCCTGCCACCCTCTCGAAGTCGTCACCGTTGACAGTAACCAGCCCACTGGTCACCCTTCTTCCCCGCCCCTGGCTGCAGCAACTCGGAAACAAGATACAGGTCGCGCTGCGGATAATGCTGGGTTTCAGGGTCCTTATGAAGCCTTCCGTAAGTTAGGTCTTCAGGCCCCTTAAGTGTTGAATGGAATTATACATTGATGTTGATCCCTGTGGTAACTATTAGTGTGGTGTAGTGGAGACTAACTCTGGTTGGATGGCTCTCTTTAACAAGCAGTTTCCGCATCTGCGAACATCTCATAACTGTTACTTGTTCCAGTTATATTACTAATATTTTAATGTTATTATCCAAAAACTATGATTTTTATAAATGAACTAAGCTTTGCCTCAAAAAGATATAAAATGTAGATATTCTTGATCTGTGGTTCTTGCATGACCATTAATAGTATTATTAACGGCAACAGTTAACTTTGTCCTCACATGGAAAAGTGCTCTGGTTATTAATATGTAAAAGCCGTGGCAACAGTCAGTAAGATGTGTATGAAAGTACAGATCTGTCGCAACGATGTAGAGTAAGACAAACCACTTGAGAATTTAATTCTGGTTTAACTTTTCGCTTTATAGGACCTTGTATCTATAGGAAACACATTGAGCTGGCTGCTTACAAGGAAGGATGGCAGGCAAGGTCAGCGCAAGTGAATGAGTTAAAATCGAGCCACGAACAATACTCCAGTATTTGGAAAAATTCTTGTATGACGAACTGAAACATCTCAAACTATGTTTCCACATCATGTACACTACTCACGTCACTGAAGATGTCTTCAGTTTTCTCTTGTCTTGATTTTGGTTCATATAATAAATTTATCAGTTTCTAAACCAGATCACAAAATTCTAAAAATTATCTAGTATCCCAAAAATTTGGATATTCATTTTGCCTTCGGTAGTCATTTGTATGACAGTAGGATTTCAATGTTGCCATGAGTACTTACAGCACAATTTTAACACTGTAATTCACGATTTCCTTTTATTTTGCACCAGCACTAACTTTACTCCAGGTTCCCAGAACAGCCTAATGGAATATCTCAATGAATACCTAATTTGTGTATATATATAATTGATGTTGGGAAAACTTACGGTGTTTCGTTCTCTCCTGCACGCAGCTCCGACAGAGGCCAAGAAGAAAGGTAGCTATTGACATGACTTCTGTTTGTTCTTGTAGTTCGGTAGTCTAGGTGGAATATTACTAGTGAGTTATTCCCAACAACTCGTGTCGCAATGCCTATATGTAATTAGCTTCTCTGCACGTAGAATTACTAAGTTTTAATCGTATATCAGTTCCATTCCTTTGATTTCGGACATCACATAGGAAAAATATTGCACGACTTTACAAATTGAGCTCTTAAAGCATGTGACACTTTTTGTAGTGAGCCTAACAAGTGTTGAAAAACATTGTTAGCATGTAGTTAGAGGATGTAAACAATTCACTGCCTACAAGACACCACTTGGCAGATTCTGTTCTAATTCACTTCATGTTGACTATCTCTACGCACTGAATTATCTCTGGTGACACTAACACACTGTTCCTCCTGGGCCTGTCGCAGGCTACCACTGGGATGACTACGATATGCATGGCTCCCGGACCCTCGTAAGCGGTGGCGAAGGTGCTGTCGCTGCCACTCCCGACCTGCTGCTGCTGCCTGAGGATGTTCCTATTGAGCCTTCACCATCTGAAGATGGCACCATGGAGGGCCTGCCTCTCCTGTCTGGTGAGTCATGTAGCAATTTGTTTAGGACCTTCAACATTTTGCTGTTAGGTCTGCCGTACACTTGGACTGAGGGATTCCCCAATATCTGAAAGCTCCTAGAACTTTTGACAGTATTATATTCATGAGAAAGTGCTAGTTCCATAGGGGTCACCCAGCACCTGGGGAATGACAGGAAATCAGCTTTCATTAGATGGAGAGATTTCTGATATCACAGAACCAAAGACATTCTCCCTTGACAAGGCTTGGTGTCAGGAAAAGATGCCTTCGATAATCCTCACAGTGTTCTCACATCTATTATATTTAGATTTTTGAAGTGCCACTTCATACTCATATGTAAACATTCTCCTTCATAGTGGAAACTGTCTAAATTTTCTACATCCTAGGAAGGATGGAGGTTTTGAATCTGTTATAGAATCATTTGTAGGAGATAGCACTAGCCATTATAGGACCTGCCTCGCAATGACCAGGCCTACTTTAATGCTTGTCCATAATTCTTCCTTCTACCCACTCTTCGATAGTATTAGTATTATGCAAATCTTAAAGTACCTTGAAATATAAATCATTTCTGTGAATTAATTTCAATAGGTATCTGACTTTTGTGTATTTTTTCTGTTTCTCGCATTGTAATTTGAATTATAAATTCGCAAACTATAAAATTGCATTATACATTTTCAGGGAGTGGTTATGATCCAAGGGTGGCTACTAATGCTGAAGAAGAAACAGCTGCCACCCCGCTGCTATCCGTGGATGCCAGAGATACCCAAGAACTTCCTGATGACGAAGACGATGACTCTGATGATGATGATGACCCATGTAGCTTTGAAGAGATTCTACTTGCCAACAATATCTCCCTCGGCTCAACTCCAGAACTTGACCTGGACATCACCTCAAAGTATAACATTGTGTCAGACATTGAAGATGATTATCCAGAGCTATCCACAAAGATCTCCAACGTGCCTTGTAGTACCGAGGAGGACGTCAGCCGACTGGGTAGCCCCAGGAGTCGACGTCCCTTCCACCGCATGGATTATAGTCGCGTGTCTGATCTCTCCTTCCTCTCAGCCCTCGAGGAGGATGATGTAGACGACTCCCTTTCAGAACTTCAGGATTCTGACTACGATCCAGCAGAGAAGCCCACTGACCAACAGACTGCTACACTCATTCAGACGTCACTCTCAGAGGTATTCTTATAGTCTTGTAATATAGCCACTTATCAGTCTTTGAGGGCCGGTAAACAACCAAGGACTATTTCAATGAAGACAGTATTTTGTGGGGAAAATTGAAGTGCAGTGAATGACTGGAAAACGTTGTTGTTCCGTGTCCCATGGGATTCCTTATAAACTCCTGGTGCTGTGTTTGACCAAATCCTTTGTTTTGGACTTCCGCTGTCACTGATCGAACAAAGGGCTTAGTATCATTTTTAGCCATCAGAACTGATTTCCTGCCACACGAGGCATAGACTGTGAATAATGATAATCAATTTTGTATAAGAGGCTATTTCCTAAATCCTTTATTCGAAACGCCGTTCAGGAGTACATGTTGCCAGAACGATGATGAAGCATTGCTGGAGCGTTGATAAAGCATTGTTGGAACGATGATGAAGCATTGCTGGAACGTTGATGAAGCATTGCTGGAACGTTGATGAAGCATTGCTGGAACGTTGATGAAGCATTGCTGGAATGTTGCGTCGGTGCCTTGCGGTTCAGTGTCGAGTTGTAGTAGACTGATCCTAGATGTATTCCTTTTCTATTTTCTGACTGAATATTAGCGTTTCTCGGACCTATCAATTTTCAGATTTACTACTTTCATAACATTGCTGGTGCATTTATGGAGTGTGTGTAGACACGATTAAGTGATAAATCTTGCCGCTTTGCCGAAATATAGATACATTCAGTTATCCTTTGCTTGGAATACGTCGGTGTAAGAATATGGTTTGACTACCATATGCATTTCATGGCAGTTCATTTTTTTTTCAGTCTGACAGTCTCTGTGAAATTTAAAAAAAAAAGACAAACTAATTTTCCCATTAAAATTTGTACTTTCTATGGGTATTATTATTATATTATTATTATTATTACGTACTGAAATCATGGACCTCCCACATCATGTTATGATGAAAGGACATAAGTGTGTTTCCTGTTGTCTTAGTCGATGTGGATATTTTTGGTGTAAAATAAAAAGAAAAAGCTTTATATATGGAAAGAGCTAAAGTCTTATCCATTTTTTTTTTCATGTGTGTTTGCTGCTGTGTACTTCCAAATTTTCAGCTGTAAAGAAAATGCTTGCAGATTTAAAATTACACAGAGGTGGACTGGGTGTCGCAGTGCACTTCAGGTGCCACACTTCACATCAACCCTTCATGTTAATCATGTCAGCAGCGAAGTTAAAATTGCTGGAATTTTATGGACGAGTTCATTCTTTTAAAAAGACAGACACTGGTGTTTCATGGGATACAGGTGTGTCACTGTCATGAGATGCACGTGTCACTGTCATGGGATACAGACGTGTCACCGTCATGGGATACAGGTGTGTCACTCATGAGATACAGACGTGTCACTGTCATGGGATACAGGTGTGTCACTGTCATGAGACATAGCTGTATTACTGGCATGAGATACAAGTGTGTCACTGGCATGAGATACACTTGTCACTGTCATGGGATGCAAATGTGTTACTGTCTTGAGACACAGATGTATCACTGGCATGAAATACAAGTGTCACTGTCATGGGACACATGAAGCCTGTATTACGGTGCTCTCCTCCACATGTTTCATTAGTCTTCATAACGCATTTCCTCTGAACTAGTCATTATTTGATACAGAGTAGAAAAAGTGCCTATACAACAGATCATAATTATTATAATAACAGGATAAACCATGCACAAAGGCCCTTCAGAGTTATTCAACGGGATATATAGATATACATACATACATACATATTTTTGCATCTTTTGAATAACCAAGTGTCTCTCGCATAGTTTTGTATAGATTTCATTTACCATCATGCAGTTCATTTTAGAAATCTGTGAAGAGTGTATAAAAAAATATTTATTGGACAAATAACACGTGCTAAATCACTAATATTATATATATATATATATATATATATATATATATATATATATATATATATATATATATATATATATATATATACTCTTTCATCATGCAAAATGTGGCCGTTGTTGTCATGGATTATCCTAACATTAGTTCAGGCGGCTTGACAGTGTTTTGGAGAAATAATTATAAATAACATGATAGCTTATTTGTATACTAAACATTAGCATTAAATATTTTGTGTGTTGTACCGTTTATATTCAAAGAAATTAGAATGATTGGCAAGTTAAAATAACTGAGGATGGTGTCACGATATAAAGTATTTTTGTAAAAAGATCTTGTGTAAATAAACTTCTTGTCCCAGACAGGTACACATTTTCTTTATCCTTTCACCTGGGATGCTGAGTTGATGTGCTGGGGATAGTGACATCTGCACTCTCGCTGGCACTCTCGCTGGCACTCTCTGACACTCTTTTATAAAGACATGTTTAGCTACTCTAAACATGCCTTTATAAAAAAAGGTTGAACACGATGAAAAACCTCCTGTTCACCTTGTGTTTATCCTGTGTTCTGTTGCTTCATATTCCTCAAATGGTTAACTAAGGTATTTTTCTGAACACACCGGCCGGCTCCCACCGAGGTAGGGGGAGCTGAAAAAGATGCCTTCCAAACCTGCTATATCCCCAACAATCCTTCAGATTGCACTGTTCTTCAGATCTCCAGTACTCAAGTCCGGCTAACGAATTTCCCTGAATCCCTTCATAAATTTTACCTTGCTCGTACTCCAACAGCACGTCAAATCATCAAATCTACTTGCGTCCACTAACTTCTATTTGCAGATATTGCAGTCATCAAGGAATTGGAAGCACTCCAGGCAAAAGGTGGTCAGGTTCAATTCCTTGGACTGACTGTCCTTCATCGGGGAGAAATATTCTAGTTCAACTATTGGAAAGTAGTAGTGGAGGTCTGAATCCCTGGCACTGGGTCACCCTAGTGTGCACTGGGTCACCCTAGTGTGCACTGGGTCACCCTAGTGTACACTGGGTCATGCTAGTGTGCACTGGGTCACCCTAGTGTACACTGGGTCACCCTAGAGTGCACTGGGTCACCCTAATGTGCACTGGGTCACCCTAGTGTACACTGGGTCATGCTAGTGTGCACTGACCACCCTAGTGTGCACTGGGTCACCCTAGTGTACACTGGGTCATGCTAGTGTGCACTGGGTCACCCAGGTGTACACTGGGTCACCCTAGTGTGCACTGGGTCACCCTAATGTGCACTAGGTCACCCTAGTGTACACTGGGTCATGCTAGTGTGCACTGAGCCACCCTAGTGTGCACTGGGTCACCCTAGTGTACACTGGGTCATGCTAGTGTGCACTGGGTCACCCTAGTGTGCACTGGGTCACCGTAGTGTGCACTGGGTCACCCTACTGTACACTGGGTCATGCTAGTGAGCACTGGGTCACCCTAATGTGCACTGGGTCACCCTAGTGTACACTGGGTCATGCTAGTGTGCACTGGGTCACCCTAGTGTGCACTGGGTCACCCTAGTGTACACTAGGTCATGCTAGTGTATACTGGGTCACCCTAGTGTGCACTGGATCACCCTAGTGTGCACTGGGTCATCCTAGTGTGCATGGGTCACCCTAGTGTGCACTGGGTCACCCTAGTGTGCACTGGGTCATGCTAGTGTACACTGGCTCACCCTAGTGTGCACTGGGTCATGATAGTGTACACTGGGTCGCCCTAGTGTGCACTGGGTCACCCTAGTGTGCAATGAGTCATGCTAGTGTACACTGGGTCATGCTAGTGTACACGGGGCTCAACTCCCTAGTGGCACTGGGTCATGCTAGTGCACACTGGGTCACCCTAGTGTGCACTGGGTCATGTTAGTGCACACTGGGTCACCCTAGTGTGCACTGGGTCATGCTAGTGTACACTGGGTCACCCTAGTGTACTGGGTCATGCTAGTGTACACTGGGTCACCCTAGTGTGCACTGGGTCATGCTAGTGCACACTGGGTCATGCTAGTGTACACTGGCTCACCCTAGTGTGCACTGGGACACCCTAGTGTGCACTGGGTCACCCTAGTGTGCACTGGGTCAACCTAGTGTGCACTGGATCACCCTAGTGTGCACTGGGTCACGCTAGTGCACACTGGGTCACCGTAGTGTGCACTGGGTCACGCTATTGTGCACTGGGTCATGCTATTGTGCACTGGGTCACCCTAGTGTGCACTGGGTCATGCTAGTGTGCACTGGGTCATGCTAGTGTACACTGGGTCAATGCTAGTGTTCACTGGGTCATGCTAGTGTGCACTGGGTCATGCTAGTGTGCACTGGGTCATGCTAGTGTTCACTGGGTCCCCCTTGTGTGCACTGGGTCATGTTAGTGTACACTGGGTCACCCTAGTGTGCACTGGGTCATGCTAGTGTACACTGGGTCACCCTAGTGTGCACTGGGTCATCCTAGTGTACACTGCGTCACCCTAGTGCGCAATGGGTCATGCTAGTGTACACTGCGTCACCCTAGTGCGCACTGGGTCATGCTAGTGTACACTGGGTAACCCTAGTGTACAATGGGTAACCTTAGTGTACACTGGGTCACCCATGTGTGCACTGGGCCACCCTAGTGTACACTGGCTCATGCTATGTACACTGGGAAAACCGTAGGGTGCACTGGGTCCCCCTTTTTGTGCACTGGGTCACCCTAGTGTGCACTGGGTCACCCTAGTGTGCACGGGGTCACCCTAGTGTGCACTGGGTCACCCTAGTGTGCACTGGGTCATGCTAGTGTGCACTGGGTCACTAGTGTGCAGTGGGTAATGCTAGTGTACACCGGGTCACCCTGGTGTACACTGGGTCACCCTGGTGTACACTGGGCCACCCTGGTGTACACTGGATCACCCTGGTGTACACTGGGTCACCCTGGTGTACACTGGGTCACCCTGGTGTACACTGGGTCACCCTGGTGTACACTGGATCACCCTGGTGTACGCTGGATCACCCTGGTGTACACTGGGTCACCCTGGTGTACACTGGATCACCCTGGTGTACACTGGATCACCCTGGTGTACACTGGATCACCCTGGTGTACACTTGATCACCCTGGTGTACACTGGATCACCCTGGTGTACACTGGGTCACCCTGGTGTACACTGGATCACCCTGGTGTACACTGGATAACCCTGGTGTACACTGGATCACCCTGATGTACAGTGGATCACCCTGGCGTACACTGGATCACCCTGGTGTACACTGGATCACCCTGGTGTACACTGGATCACCCTGGTGTACTCTGGATCACCCTGGTGTACACTGCATCACCCTGGTGTACACTGGATCACCCTGGTGTACACTGGATCACCCTGGTGTACACTGGATCACCCTGGTGTACACTGGGTCACCCGGGTTTACCGGGGTCACCCGGGTTTTAAACGGCACCCTGGTGTACACGGGGTCACCCGGGTGTACACTGGATCACCCTGGTGTACATTTTGTCCCCCTGGTGTACACGGATCACCCGGGTGTACACGTCACCTGGGGACACTGGATCCCCGGTGTACCTGGATCACCCGGTGTCAGGGATCCCCTGGTTTACCGGATCACCCTGGTGTACACTGGATCACCCTGGTGCACTGATACCCGGGTGTACACTGGATCCCCCGGTGTACACGGGAACCCCCGGTGTACACGGGACCCCGGGTTTTACACTGGACACCCGGGTACACTGGATCACCCTGGGGACACGGATCCCCCTGGTGACACGGATTCACCCGGGTTTACACGGTTTACCCTGGGTAATGGATCCCCCTGGTGTCACGGGATACCCGGTGTACACGGGATCCCCTGGTGACACTGATCACCCGGTGTACACGGGATCACCCTGGGTAAAAACTGGACCCACCCTGGGTACACGGATCACCCTTGTACACTGGATCACCCCTGGTGTACACTGGATCCCCGGTGTACACGGACACCCGGGTACACTGGATCACCCGGTGTACACTGGACACCCGGGTGTCCCCCCCTGGTTAATTCACCCGGGGTGTACACTGGATCACCTGGTGTACCCCCCCTGGAACTACCCTGGTGTACACTGGAAACTAAAATTCTCTCAGTTGTTGGAAGACAAAAAAAAGATAAGGTAAATAAAGACATAATTTTTTACACAAAAATTCAGCTGAAAAAAAAATTTGACTTTAGGGGTAGTTATGAAATAAATCTTATTCTTCCACACTATTCAGTATTTCATTTCTGTCTGGTAATTTACATCATTAACCGGGCTTAGGAAAATTTCTCTGTGTGTGTGTGTGTCTGTGGTGTGTCTGTGTGTCGTGTGTGGTGGTTGTGTGTGTCTGGTGTGTGTCTGTGGTGTGTCGTGTGTGTGTCTGTCTGTGTGTCTGTCTGTGTGTGTGTCTGTGTGTGTGTGTGGGTGTGCCGGGTCCTACACAACTCACTTCCAATCAGAAAAATAAAAGAAAAAGGTATCGTGAGGAATTTTGCTGGATATAAAAAGCACTCATGGAGGCTCAATCCTCCGTACGGTCGTTTGAAAACCCTCTTGAGGCACGAGATTTAAAATGAAATCAAAGGCCAAAAAAAGTAAACACATTTTGATATTTCTAACGTCACACGCAAAATCCTAGCCTTTTTTTTTTTTTTTTGGGGGGGGGGGGGGGGGGGGGGTACTAGAAAGGGAGAGGCCGGGCCCCCGACCCACTGGTCAACTATCTTTTACACATTTCCCGGGTATATGGAAAAAAACCAGCTGAATGGATTAAAAAATTTTGTCGATGTTTGGGGATTTAGGCAAAACTAATTTTTGCAAATTGAAAAAGAAAAAGAGGAAAACGAGAGCTAAATAAATGTCCACACCAAACCTTTGAGATAAGGGAAGGGGGAAGGGAAGGGGGGAAAGGGAAGGGGGAAAAGGGGAAGGGGGGTTTTTTCAAACTGAAGAACTCTTTATCAAAGGGAAAGAGAAAAAATTCTTTTTAAATTTGGGTTAACCGATTTCATCCCATTCCCCAGGGTTTTTATGACCCTAAGAGTTACGCCCAAAAACCCAAAATAAAATAAATCTACCAACATCAAGATTGTCGGCCAAAACTGAATGATCCATACGAGTTTAGCTCTTGTGTTTTAACATAACAAAAAATAATAGTAACGACTTAAGAATCTCTTTAAAGAACCTCAAGGAGGCAACTTCAAGGAAACCCTGAAGATTTTCAAGGAGACCCTGAAGAGCTTCAAGGAGACCCTTGAAGAGCTTCAAGGAGACCCTTGAAGAGCTTCAAGGAGACCCTTGAAGAGCTTCAAGGAGACCCTTGAAGAGCTTCAAGGAGACCCTTGAAGAGCTTC